AAAACTACATATAATTTTAAATACATGGGTTCAGTTACATACTTACCATAAACATAGATATCACAAAGGTTATCTTAACAAAATAGATTTAGTTCCTTCCCTAAAAAGGTTTATAATTTACATGTTCTATACAGGACTCCATTTTTGTAACAGGAATAACTTCAATTTTTACATATAACCATAGTTAGGTGAGATGTTAACATTGCAAAAGGCTGGATCAAGGATGCAGAGGACCTCCCTGTACATTTCTTTGCAACCCCCTGTGAATTTAGCCTGTGAATCTATAATTATTTCAAATGAGAATGTTTAAAAAGGAGGAAAGGATCAGATAAGAAGGATAAGCCAATTAAGGCAAAAAAGATTTAGGAAAAGGAAAGTTTTACCACTAAAAGTGTACCCAGAATGCTGGGACACAGGTGTGTTGTCTCTCCTCTGCAGAAGGCTTTGGGAGATGGGAATACTAATCTATAAAATTACATGCTTATGCAGAAACTTTTCTCTTGAAAAATTTGCTTCCCTTTCCTGTGCATTCATCCAAGCTAACGTAATGAGGTTTCTGGAGGTTATCATTCATTAAAACTTTCTGTTCATCAGCAGATTGTATAAAATCAATTTTATTTCCCAAAATATACTCTTCCTCTCAGCTGTCTAAGTCAATCCAGAAATGTCTGCATTGACTCACTGAGGCAGGCCAACCAAGTATTAGACTGTTTTCAATTACACAGTTATTAATTCCATTAAACAAAGAAAAATGCAAAAATTTAAGAATTTGGACTTTCTCTCCCTACTCCCTATCACTTTTTAAGAACAGATTAACTGTGTACATGGACTATGCAGGATATACTTATAATACAAATATTAGGAAACTATTGTTTTCAAAATCAGTAATACTGCCTTTTAACTATCATATTTGGTTCTTTATTTGCTTTATTTGCTTTTTTGAAGAATTTAGAGTTGTGTGTAATCTCAAGTAAACAACCAACCTTCACTCGCTAACAAAACTCCTAGTGTGCTTCCAAATAGAAGCATGCTAACTGACCTCTAGACTAGTATATTTATCAAGAAAAATGTACCATACACATATTTCAACACTGTACAAAACTGATCTCTTAGCCTCAGAAATATTATCAACTGTATCAGTGAAGTGTGGATGATAATGGTGAGTATTTCAATGAACATTTTTTTCAAGATTGCTAATAAAGCTGTGAATCCATAAGGCAGTAGGTTTTCTGAGTTAACTTTATAGCTCTATAATCATACAATAATACTTCAATCATAAAAGATTTATTAGCTCAAATGTAATCCCACCTTCACATGGGATACAATGTCTCATTAATGCTTATTTTACTTGTGCTACATAACAACTGTGACACAAAGGTAACAACTCTTAACTAAAGATATCCCCTTCTCTCTAACTTCCTGAGCCTGTCAGCCACCTGCACAGTGCACAGCACTCTTACATTACCAAAAGCCTACTTTGAAACAAAACCCACACAGCTGGTTAGGAGCAGGTGTAGACCAACTGAACTAAATCAATTCTGTCTGTAGGAATTCATTTCTAAGTGTTTCAAAATGCCAGATCTAGCAAATAAAACCAACCTTTTCATTTGGTATTCTCTTAAAAGATAAGATTTTTAGAGATGTTTTCCAGCTATTTTTAATTCTAAATTCCTATGACTGTGGAATAATAAATGGGCTTTAAGAGGTAATACAGAGCTTCCCCAGCTTCCAATTTCTCAACACTTTATTTGCAATTCTGCCTCAACGTACAGAACATAACATACACCTGCACAGACATAAAATTTCTTTTTGCCAACATGATTTCCATACTCAAAGGCAGAAATTAAGAATCACAAACTCTCTTCCTTCTCTAAAAATAAAAATTTTAAGTTAATTTTTTCCTGCATAACATTATAAAACTCCTCTGCAAATTTTCCCCGTTTTGTTTTAAAGCAAACAGTCCACCTTAAATCAGAGATCATGAAGCTTTTATAGAAAGATACTAGTCATTCTGGTCCAGTGACTATATTTAATTAATTGCTTTAAATAAAAAATGTCAAGTCACTTGTCATGTTCTTCTCTTGACAATCCATCATACTAACTGTAGATTGCTTCCTTCTATATATTTCCTTTTCCTTCCTCTTTTCTCTTCTGTGCCAGTTTCAGTTGTGGCTCCTATTGTAGAACTCATTCAACAAGCCAAACATCTCCCTTTCCAATTCTATTTATATGATTTCCTTAAAAATCAGCCGTTTTTAGGAGTAATAATTGTCTATGCTTATCCTAATGCTATGAAAAGTTGCCGCTGACCTTATTTCAAACACTTGTCACTCATTAAGTGACAATGCAGTTTAAGTTGTTTCATTTATAAAACGGGGATAGAAATGCTCAAGAAGTACACTACGTTTCTTGAAATGCACTATTATGAGTTCACAAAGCAGGGTTTCTCCTCTGCCGCCCCACAACCCACCACGTACACAGACTCCTGAAGCTGTGTGACTTTTCTGGCCGTAAGTAGTTTGAATGTAAAAATAAAGGGATTGGGCTTAAAGTTGTCTTCAATCTCTTTTTTTCCAATTATGTTTCCTTTTTTGTCCAGTATATTCTGTTACTAAGTATTTTATCTCTCCTGTGAAATAAAGGATATTCTGCTCTGAAATTATACTGACTTGTATACTTTGATTGCCCAATGGGTTTTTTTTTATTTAGGAAGGAATAAATCAATATATTCTAATAGGAGTTTGATTTTGATTCTGCCTCAAGGCTTAAGAATGGGCTGAATAACCTATAACTGTGATTTCTTGATGAACTTTTAAGAACTTTAAAGAAAAGTTGAAGGTGGGATGAATGTAAGGCATGTTCATCCACAATCCTACCATCATGTATGTTCTTTAAGGGCAAGACCTATGTCTGATTTTTTTCTTTTTCCCCTAACTCTCCACATGATTTTGTACACAGTGAATGCCCAACAAATAGGGTTTATTATTTTGTATTTAGTTTCTATGCTGAGGACTTTGGGAAATCAGGGACCCTAGCTAAGATTACTGCAAACCTAATGCTCTCCTAATGGTGTGGCAAGAACTCAGAGTCTTAAAACCTGTTTCCAAATGTGTTACTAATTTCCAGCCTCCTCAGAAGACAACTAACCCATTCAGCAACTAATTGTTATGCTGCAAATTGCCTGCTTTTTGATGTTAGTAAAATTCAAAGGCTAAAACACTTGCCTAAACCTACCCATGGTTTCTATTTTGAATTTCTTATTTTGTATTTATACTGAAGATATCCAATATATCAACTTTATGAAAGTGTCATTATTGTTGCTGTAATTTCAAGGGTCATAATCATTATATAACACCATAAATAGATTAGAGAACTAAACAATACCCTTTTGTAGGCAAACAAAAAATTGTCATAGAAGGAATAAGACGAGATGATGATGCTTTTTAAAAATTGACCAACATTTCAAATGATGAGAAACACCAAGTGATTAAGCTACATATCTGTTTAAAAAAGAAAAAATCAACCCTGAAAATATATTCTATAATTTTGCAAAAAGAAAAAGTCACTTATACAAATATAGCATCACCACCATTAAGCAGGATTAATTGTGTAAATCTATATACCAGACACTTTATATCAATAATCTTTACAATAAGGTGGGCATGATTCTCATTTTAAAGATAAGAAAATTGAAGCTCAGAAACGTCACTCAGCTAGTGACAGAATTGAGACCCAAACCCAGATTTGTCTACCTCTCGTCACTACAGTCTATCATCTACACCACATGGAAACTGATTAAATGATCAAACATAGTGGGAGATTGGGTAAATTGTGTTACATTTACTTGATGTCATTTTATACAACTATTAAAAAATAAAAAGGTAGTTTTCATTTTATTTTATACTTCTTTGGCTGAGTACTATATGTACACTATCTCATTTAATCTTTTCCCCAAAATGTTTTGAGGTAAATATTTCTATTACCCCCATTTCAGAGATGGAGAAACAGAGGCTTAAGGGTTAAGATGACTTCACCTGGCAATGGCAGAGCTGGCCGAGAAAACCACACCAGCTTGACCCCAACGCCCATTTTCTTAATCATTACACTGTGCAATACTACACACAAAAGAGCAATTCAAAGTTAAAATGACTAACATTGGTATTAGTAGTCTTTGCTTTAGGAAAAATGATTACCCATTTGATTCACAACAGTATTCCTCTAAACCATAGTAATTATAGTCATTTTTTCTGTGTTTTTCTAAAATGTTTTTAATTTTAAAAAATCAAGTTTCAACCAAATATTTTTTTGTCTTTGCAAATGAATTGTTTCCACTGTTGCTAGTAATGAAATAGTTAAATCTTGAGGACATACCCTGGTGGATATCTCTCTCAACTATCTAAAGAGAAAAAAAAAAAAAAAAAAAGGTCACAGTCAGTTACTCCCGTTAGATCAGTGTTCATGAGAACATCTGTAGGCACACATACACACTCCCTTTGCTGCCAGCCTCCTGCTTGCCACAGTCACAGTGGGCAGTCAGTGAATCTTCCCCAAGTGCTGACATTTAATACCCGGTTTAGCAGCAAAGAATCAGAGAGGGGTAGGCAGCCCCTCTGGCCTTCAGGTAGGTCCAATACCTTCATTTCTACCAAAGCTAAAAGATGGGAGCCTGTGTTTGTAAACTTTAAGGGAATGATGCCATACTTTGGCAATCTGTTAGTTACAGGTGGATTGGGTGTCTAGATGGGGAAAAGATGATGTAGAATTTGGAAAATGTGGGGCTTTTTGTTCTCAGGCTGCTGCAAGGATTTAATTCCCAGACCTTCAAAGCATTATCATTTATCTCATTGTACATAAATCCTTCTCTGGCATAAGTATAGGAAGGAAGACCTAATCTTGGTTTTACTGCCAGCAAAAATTAAATAATGTATGCCTCAAACCTGATTAACTGTGCAAGATAATGTTAATTCATGCACTAAATATCTGCAATTACATGAGGTTACCTGCTATTCTGGAGCAATCAAGAAAACATGGGCAGCACTGATCAGCAAGATTTAATGCTTCAGAGTACAGTACCTTTCTTTGGAAGAAAGTAAAAGACAGTTCAGACACAGGAAACTACAAACCCAGACCTCATACCATTAGTCCTCTTTTCATACTCAACTGTGCCCTAGCTTCACAGTGAATAAATGAAAATCTCCCTGCTGAGAAATGTTAGCATGGGGTTGGGAAAATTGTATAAGTTTATTGGTCCTATATTTCTGTCGTTTAAAAAGAATCTTTAATGTGTTGACTTTGAAACTTCCCTCTGTTGCAGAACAGTATCTTATTTTTAAAAATCTGCCTGTTTTTATCTAGCCTATTTAAAGAAAAACACTTCAGTAGGTTATTTTAGATCTAGTATAATCTTTTAAAAACTCATTTTAAAAACTAAGATGGGCCTAATATAGTCACATTAAAACCATGGGAGAGATGCAATAGACTACTCCAGTGAAAACATATTCAAATCAGTAATGCAAAATTTCAAAAAATATGGCAAAATAATGTGAAAACACTTTCAATGTTCCTGTTTATTCTGTAAAAAATATATATATACATATATATATCATCTGCTTAAAATGGGTAATCTAAAAATTAAATACACAAACTCTTGAACTGTGTTCAAGAGGAGGTAACTCATCTGAGCAATAGTAAACTTTACCACTGTTTTTAGGGCCCAGATATTATGAAGTGAACAAAGAACAGAGCATCAAAGGGAGAACAGGTCAAAAACCCTATTCCCTAGGTCTTTAGGGACCTAGACTAAGCTACAAAAATGGGCAATCTTCTTTCTGTCCAAGAAAAATGTTTCTGTTTAATCTACTCTAACCATGTTTTCACTTACAAGAAGCCAAAAACCCTATTAACAATCTTAAAATTAAGCCAATGGTGAACACATTATTTTAAAAGCTTGCTGTTTAAAAGCAAGTGTTCTTGGAGAACCCCTTCAGATATGAAATGCATTAGCCCTGTATAGCTTGCTTTATATCCCAATAAGACTTGATGGGTGTTTGACACAAGCAAGCTTCGGTTTTGGTGTGCCCTCCACCGAAAATGGGACAACTCTCTCAGAATAATCACTCATCCTGATGAGCTTAATCACTTTTGGTTTTCATTTACTGAATTGAGGGTCAACAGTATTTTCTTTTATTCCTATGAATAGCGTTTTCTTAGTTACTCAAGTGCCTTCTCTTATGTAGACTGGGATAGGCCATGAATAAATAAAACACTTGCCCAGGTTATTTCATAAGCAGGTTGTTTGCTGAATCTACAAACAACCATGGTCTGAGGAAGAGAGAGGCTTGCTTTTACAACTTTGGTAATAATCCTTCCCAGGCACCATTTCCTCATTTTGTTTAATAACCCAGAAGATGATTGCTAAAAGATCACACCTTGAGGAATCTCCCAAGTAAAACTGAAAATCATAAGTACCAGAGATTATTTAGCTATTAATTACACCTGATCTACAGAAGTGCTTCAGGGGAAAACAAAACAAAACACCTCATTGGAGTGACCAAATGGTCCAAGGAACATTTGCAGGAAGGATAAAAATAAATCATAGCATCAACTAACATGTATTGAGTATTTATGTGCCAGGCACCGTGCTGTGACTTACATGTGCTATCCCATTTATTTCTCAAAACAAACCAATGAATAGGTACTAATTTACCCCCATTTTGCAGATAAAAAATAATAGAGAGAAAAATAATTTTCTCAAGGTGGTTCCACAGCAACTAAGTGTGATAGCCCATATTTGGACTCAGAAAATCCAACTTCACAGCCTGCATAATTATGTAGGGTTAGAGAAAGGGCAACAAGAAAAATGGATTATGTTAATTAAATTGAAATCACCACCAGCACCCTCATCTTATATATTTGTCCACTTATTTGTTCAAAAGTTTATTCATCTATACCCATTGACCTGATTTCCAGATCCTAAAGCCCCTTCTAATCCCCTCCAACACTTTAAATACCAGCCACCATTACTGGCAAGTTATTGTGCACTAACAGCCTTACTTTTGGTAAGTTCAAGAATAATTATAATAATAACAACTATCGCTTACTGTGTGAGAAGCCCTGTTCTAAGCGCTTTACATGTATTAAATTACTAATCAAGCCAGGCACGGTGGATCATGCCTATAATCCCAGCACTCTGGAAGGCCAAAGCATAAGAATCACTTGAGCCCAGAAGTTGGAGGGTGTGGTGAGCTATGTTGAGCCACTGCACTCCAGCCTGGGCAAAAGAGCAAGGCACTGTCTCTTAAAAAAAAAAAAAATACTAATCATAACTGACATCAATATGAGATAGGTAAAATTATCTTAATTTTCAGATGAGGAAACTGAGGCACAGAGCGGTTAAATAACTTCCCTAAAGTCATGTAGTTAGTGACACAGGATTTGAATCTTGTCAGTCAGTATTCAGAGCCCATACTCTTAGCCACTGTTTTATATTACTTTTGAAGTATATTAACTATTTACTCTTAACAGTCAAGGAATTTGTACTGCTTTGTTACCTTTAACATTTGGTGCCTAGGACTTACACTGAAACAGGGAGTGTATTTCACATCTCTCTAAAGTAGGTAATAATAAAATAAAAATTTATCAAGCTTACTTCACCTGGTAAATACCCTTTTTGTTATAATACAAATATGAAATCCTGACTAATTCTAACACTTCTTTGCTTAGTGCCTGCTTACTAGAGAATTATCAAAGAAGTACCTCAAAGTTCTTGGGCTGGAAAGAGATCTGAAACAACTGCCACTAACTCTATTTTCCTAGAGTAGGGGAGATGTATTCAGGAAGGTTCTCTGCTTCCCTAAAAGAACTCTAAAATCAGAAATAAATGCAGTAAAGAAAACAAAGGACCTTTAAGTGGCACTTACAAAAGTCTAGTAACTGTACTTCCATTTACTAAATGTGGGAATAGTAAAAATCGCTTTCAGGCCATTTCTCTCCTGCACTCTAGGTATTCAGGGACTCATCTTTTGGTTCTGCAAGACAGTCACAGCTTTTGTAACCTCGCAACCCCCTTCCACTCCCTGCCCCAGCAACCCAGGGAGCCTCAGCGGTTCAATTCTGAGTCGCGCTCCAAAGCGTCCAGGCAGGAGTCCGTAACGACACCTCTGCCGGGGCGTCCCTTCAGACTGCGGTTTCCAGGCAACCGCTCACGGGCAGAAGCAGTTCCTACCGGGTCACCTGTTTCAGAGTCCCCAGGAGAGGCTGCAGCAGCACCCGGGCCAGGGTTTGCCCGACACCGCGCTCCTGGTGCGGTAGCCTTCCCTTCCCATAACCCGGATGTGAATGCAGCCACTCTCGCCTCCCGTTCCCCAGTTTTTCGCCTTGGTTCCCATCTAGTCACGTCGCACCTTTGGCGTCTTTATTCACATACATGCTAGGAGTCTCCTCTCTCAAAGCAACAAAGACAAATTATCTGTAGCTACACATCCCCGTAGAGAACGGATTCCTGGGAAATGTAGTTCTTTGGGCTGATGTGTGGTGTAACTCTTTGAGGAAAAGGACTACAATTCCCTGAAATCTAAGGGAGGATAGTCCATCTCTAAAACATGTCCCAGCTGCTTGGATAGGCATTAGGCAGGAAGGTTCTGTGGATTTTGCTGGCCGAATTCCCTGGATTTTATTTATTCGGTCCCACAGTAAGCTTGTGGGAGGACTTCTTCTCTAAACGTGCTTTTTATATGTGAGGACTGTAAATACAGTGATTTATATGAAGAGATACTCTAAGTCATTTTATTTTGTAATTCTTTCAGATAAAAGATCTACCCACTATCAGAAAATATGTCACTGCAGATGGTAACAGTCAGTAACAACATGGCCTTAATTCAACCAGGCTTCTCACTGATGAATTTCGATGGGCAAGTTTTCTTCTTTGGTCAAAAAGGCTGGCCCAAGAGATCCTGCCCCACTGGAGTTTTCCATTTTGATATAAAGCATAACAATCTCAAACTGAAGCCTGCAGTTTTCTCTAAGGATTCCTGCTACCTTCCTCCTCTTCGCTACCCAGCCACGTGCATGGTCAAAGGTAGCTTAGAGTCTGAAAAACATCAATATATCATCCACGGAGGGAAAACACCAAACAATGAACTTTCAGATAAGATTTATGTCATGTCTGTTGTTTGCAAGAACAACAAAAAAGTTACTTTTCGCTGCATGGAGAAAGACTTGGTAGGAGATGTTCCTGAAGCCAGATATGGTCATTCTATTGATGTGGTGTATAGTCGAGGGAAAAGTATGGGTGTTCTCTTTGGAGGACGGTCGTACATGCCTTCTACCCAAAGAATCACAGAAAAATGGAATAGTGTAGCTGACTGCCTGCCACATGTTTTCCTCGTGGATTTTGAATTTGGGTGTGCTACATCATATATTCTTCCAGAACTTCAGGATGGGCTGTCTTTTCATGTCTCTATTGCCAGAAATGATACCATCTATATTTTAGGAGGACATTCACTTGCCAATAACATCCGCCCTGCCAACCTGTACAGAATAAGGGTTGATCTTCCCTTGGGTAGCCCAGCTATTAATTGCACAGTCTTAACAGGAGGAATCTCTGTCTCCAGTGCAATCCGGACTCAAATTAACAATGATGAATTTGTTATTGTTGGTGGCTATCAGCTTGAAAATCAGAAAAGAATGATTTGCAACATTGTCTCTTTAGCAGACAACAAAATAGAAATTCGTGAGATGGAGACCCCAGATTGGTCCCCAGACATTAAACACAGCAAGATATGGTTTGGAAGCAACATGGGAAATGGAACTATTTTTCTTGGCATACCAGGAGATAATAAACAAGCTGTTTCAGAAGCATTCTATTTCTATACGTTGAAATGTGCTGAAGATGATGTGAATGAAGATCAGAAAGCATTCACAAATAGTCAGACATCAACAGACGATCCAGGGGACTCTACTCCCTTTGAAGACTCAGAAGAATTTTGCTTCAGTGCAGAAGCATATAGTTTTGATGGTGATGATGAATTTGACACCTATAATGAAGATGATGAGGAAGATGAGTCTGAGACAGGCTATTGGATTACATGCTGCCCTACCTGTGATGTGGATATCAACACTTGGGTACCATTCTATTCAACTGAGCTCAACAAACCTGCCATGATCTACTGTTCCCATGGAGATGGGCACTGGGTCCATGCCCAGTGCATGGATCTGGCAGAACGCACGCTCGTCCATCTGTCAGCAGGAAGCAACAAGTATTACTGCAATGAGCATGTGGGGATTGCAAGAGCACTACATACCCCTAAAAGAGTCCTACCCTTAAAAAAGCCTCCAATGAAATCCCTCCGTAAAAAAGGTTCTGGGAAAATCTTGACTCCTGCCAAGAAATCCTTTCTTAGAAGGTTGTTTGATTAGTTTTGCAAAAGCCTTTCAAATTCAAGTGCATATGAATTTTTTAATCTACTTTAAAGAATCATAATGATAAAAAATTATATACTTATTTTTGTTTATTAAAATGCCTATGTTTTCTTTTAATTAAGTGCCATGTGGAAATGCTTATAATGTAGTGCTAAATTCAGTCATTCTAGAACCTATATATTTTGAAAATATTTTACTCAAATAATCTACTCATTTATTCTTATATGAAGATTTCTGATCTTATTTTTTTTTTTTTTTTTTGAGACAGAGTCTCGCTTTCTTGCCTAGGCTAGAGTGAGTGCCGTGGCGTCAGCCTAGCTCACAGCAACCTCAAACTCCTGGGCTCAAGCCATCCTCCTGCCTCAGCCTCCCGAGTAGCTGGGATTACAGGCATGAGCCACCATGCCCGGCTGATTTTTTATATATATATATATTAGTTGGCCAATTAATTTCTTTCTATTTTTATGGTAGAGACGGGGTCTCGCTCAGGCTGGTTTTGAACTCCTGACCTTGAGCAATCCGCCCGCCTCAGCCTCCCAGAGTGCTAGGATTACAGGCGTGAGCCACCGCGCCCGGCATCTGATCTTATTTTTTTCATTCAAGAAATCTTAAACATAAGTAGTAATAATAATCAAAGTCTGTTCACATTCCTTATGTGATTTTTGGTAACTACCTATAGAGTAGTTAAGACGAATTTAACCAATAAAGAAACTAAAACCCAAAGTAATTAAATTATTTTGTGCAATATAACAATTTGATGGTTAGCCAAAACTTAAAACCAAGATTAACTACATCCCATACTAGTCCTCTTCATACACCTCAAAGCAGGCCCTTGGATTATGCCCATGAACAGAACAAATTAGTTCCTTACAGCTTATATATATATGTATATATATAATCTCCATTGACATGAACAAAGAAACAGTCTACATCAAGTTTGGTACATTTTATTGAATTATCTGCATGCACTTTCTTCAAGGATCCCCCCTTCCTATTATATGATGCATGAATGAGGTGCCAAAATCAGTAACTTGAACCAATTATTTCAGGGAGTGTTCATGGAAAACTGAAGCCCACTGCTACTTAGCACTCTGGAAAAAGGAGATAAGTGAGAATACAATAAGAAAGGACCAACAAATAAATCTCATGGAGAAAAATAATATTGATTATTTCCCAAAATAATAAAATTTTAAAGAATTTCATGAAGTTAATAAGCAAGAGATTTTAAATGACAAAAAAGAAATTTGTGTGTGTGTGTGTCTAGTTAACATGTGGAGTTTGCTGCCAGCAAATATTATAAAATCAGTGAACTTGCCAAAGTTCAATTAGACACTTGCTAGAATGAAACTAGTTAAAAGGACTGTTAATTTTGAAGATTCAAGACATCATTTGATACTTAGATGACCTTAGAAACAAATGTCTTCCCCCCTGGAGTATATTTCTGGTAAATAATTATACTTTATCTTAAGAGCTTCAGCCACAGACTCTTATTCATCAGTGTTCACTGGGAGTTCATAGTATGTAAGGTACTACTATCAAATTTAGGGGAAACATGAACCATATAGGAGATGAAAAAGTGCTGGAGCATAAGTTCTTCTGCTAATAATTTCATGTCCCAAATACTGATGTTAACTTAGATAAGCTAAATCATGTTTATTCTGTTTCAATGTCACTTGATGAATATTCCTTTTGAACAATTGCTGTGTCATTGATTTGATTTTTTGTTGTTTATATCACCTATATTAAAATAATAAAATATAAAAGCCTTCTGTTTATAGTGATGTACTCAAATTATTGACATTTATAGTTACCCAAATAAAGATAAAATTAAGCATTTATTTTTCTCAGGATGACTCCACTTTGATTTCCTTTTTATTTGTTAGTAGAAAATATGTTTAGTTGGAGCAAAAATATCCTTTACAGAGTTCAGAAAAGATATTCCCCCCAATGAGTAGTTATATTCCCTTTTCTTGATTTGTCTATAGTGATTCAGTGGCTAAAGAACTATTACCCCATATATATTTTTTAGTTGATGAGATCTCACTGAGTTCCATGGTCAAACCCAGATCTCAAATAGCTGCTTTCGTTGTGTTTGTGTGTGTGTGTGTGTGTGTGTGTGTGTTTCAAGAGCTAGCAGTTTAGTTATACTAATCATATATTTGAGTAAAAATAGGTCTTTTTTAAGTCATCTCACCAAAGAGTCCATCAGATGTGACTTTAAGATAATGATGCTGTGTAAGGTTATGCAAACATTCCAATGAGCCACATTAAAATAGTAAACACTTATTTCAACAATATTGCCTTTCCCCAAAACATTTCAGGGGCTCACATTTCAATTACCTTCAGATCCATGGTTCATTCCTCTAAGGTGTTCAAAAGTTGTCCCTCTTCCTCCATTAAAAACGGATTTAATTTCAGGAAACAGACAAATGTCACTCAAAGCCTAGCAGAATGTAACTTTCAGTATTAGGTTATCACTTTAGGTCAAAAATAATGTGAATACCAGCTAATCAAATGGATTTTCTGAGATGGCTCATAAATAGGGTTTAAACGTAAGTCCTGAAATTGTTTGCACAAGAGTACAAGAATAATATCAATAAGTAAGTATATGGCTTCCCAAAGTAATCATGTAAGGAACTATACTCATCTACAAGTGTCAGTGAGTTCAGTGTGTTAGAGGAGGGAAAACAATGAAAAAGGAATAGTCCAAAGGTCGTAGCATGAGATGAAACTTTTAACATTTGAGGAAGTGGAAGAAGGTCAGT